CACGCAGGTGGCATCCAGCAACCATCAACGCATGCTGGCTCGCGACAAGAATACAGCCAAACGTCACCCACACAAATTTTCTTTACATACCCTTTTTCTGCACGAGGGCGTGTGGGACGCTCAGCCAACGCCTTGTCAAGCTCTTGTTGCAAGATCGACTCTTGCGCAAGAAGCTGAGCAGGCGCCCAAACAACTGGGTTTCCAAACGGCCCCAGCACACATTGCTTCATATAAGAGAAGCACCTGTACTAGCCATCCGGGATCACTTAGGCCCCGGTACTAAAATATACTGCCCAATTCACTGCAGGTTGCACTGTGTCCAACTTGGAGGTTTCACAAGCTCATCCGTGGATTCCGATGCGCCCCTCGCGGCAGAAGCGGCAGAAGCTGCGGACGTCGTGTGAGCGGCACGCGCAGTAGGTGCCACGGTAGGTGCCACAGGGGCGCGCTGGGCCTCGAGGTAGTGGATGACTTCGGCCAAAAGTTCCTTCTCCACTTTCTGGTTCACGTGCCTCCACGTCTCGAAAATGACATCAAACCCAGTTCGCTGATAGGTGGCTTCCGAGGCAGACTCACCATGGGTTGAAAACGCGGCGACTTATACGAGTCATGGGAGCAATCGGCTCCTTTCAGTACTCCAAGCATTCAAAGATTATATATAAACAAGTAGATATCTCCCAAAGATCCCAGAAGAGGCTCGATCTGGAGATGTTTCCGAACCTCCACTCAATTGTGCTAAGTCAAGTCCTTGCATGTCATCACAAACACCGACTTTCGTCCCTTGAATCCCTTATTTGTTCTCCTAGGCACTCGTAGCCTTTTTGCTTCTTTATGATGTGCTCCTTGATGGTCACCGCGTCAGTTTCTACAGTTGCCGTGGCCTTCTCTGCGTCCACGTGACACACCTGCGTCAAGTCCTGCAAGGTGCTCACGTCCGCACCGGCGACGTCGGGTAAGATCACCGTGGTCGGAATACCTCGGGTCGCCGGGTGGTCGGGTGGTCGCCGGGTGGTCAAGCTGCGGTTTCAATGAGTGACTTGCGACCAACGAAAGCACAAGATTGCTTTGGGCAATCAAGAAACTCGAGTGGGTAGCTGTAAAGACCTCGAAGATACACCAGATGCGCTTGGGATACGCACATTCTTTGAGCTTGTCGAAGCACATCAGCATCTTCCCGATGCCTTTCAACTGCTCACCAAAAATGCTAAAGAGCTTTTCGGGCTCCAGGGCTTGATTGTTGTGCTCCAACATTCCTTGAGTGAGAGCCGAACATGGAGCGACGTGTTTTGTTTGTGAAATCCTTGAGCCGCCAATGAAACCGGCACAAATCCTCCGAGTCCCAGAAATCCCTGCCATTCCCTGCCCGAATTCATCTACCCTTCCCAGAAACACCTTCATGATAAACTTGATTGGTATGTCAAAGGGGAAAACTAACTTGTATGAGTCGCAAGGTCATCATGGCTCTTCTTTCAATCAGCAGTCGCCAAACAGCAACAAGCTTTTGAGGCGGGTCGCTACAGCCAAAAACAACGCATTGTAACCGAGGTCAGAATTCTATTGAAAAACTACGAGTTGTTGACTTCACATATTAATATGCACATGCATGGACACACATACATACAATGCAGGATATGCAAATCTAAGCCACTGAACTGGTTGTTCACGAACATGCACCTGATTGACAAAGCAAACCAAAAGCACAGTTGCGCTAGCTTTACTTGTACAGCAATGTGCTTTCAGGCAACGGAATATGAAATCAAATGATCAATCAGTGCAATTCTAAAAACACGGCCTCAAAAACTGTCTAGCCATACCGGGATGTAAACACATGCGACAAAAACACACCCGCAAAAGTAGAGCTGTAAACAAGTGTTTTCATCTACCTCTTGCAGCTCCAGCAATACCATCTTTATCATGTTGGCTTGCAATCTCCACGCACTGGTTGGATCATATATGACAATGTGGTGATTCGTGCCATGTTGCTCCTTCAACCTGCGCATGTCTCGCCTCAAAAGCTCCGAACCCGTGCACCACTCGCTGCTTTCCTTCTCTTACCCCAAATCCATTCTCGGCCATGGGTGGCCATGCAGTCCAGGCACCACCAAATGTAGATCTCGCTGTCCCTTTCTTCGGTCACTGTTGTATGTCTCTCGAACCATCTATTCAAGGCCTTCTTGACGTCCTCGAGCTTGTAGCTCCAAACCCATGACAAAAACCTTGGCTCCTGATAAACCAAACACTCTCATCGCAAATACCAGGTCAGCTCAACATTCTCTTCCGCTGTTATGCGTTACTTGTGACGCCATCACGAATTATTCCAATTGGTCTTGAACACAAATCAACCCAACAAGTGTTTGGAGAACAACGTGTCAGATCTGAACCATCCGAGGAACCAATTCGCCTTCGCACTGTTCTCGTTTAGGCGCAGTGCATCCACCATGCTGCAATCCCTCTCCCCATCACGAGGGCACCAAAGATCCTTGCTCAGGGCCCAAGGCCTCGAAGAGGACATGTAAGATCCTCTACAAACGAGGAGAAATTGTCCTAGTAGCCTTCTTGCTCCTAGTAGCCTTCTTGCTCCTAGTAGTAAGGCCAGGAGCCCCGATCGTAGCGTCCTTGCTTCTAGTAGCGATGCCCTTTGCTCCGTTCGTAGCGTCCTAACTTGAAGTTGAAGGGGGGATCATTCATTGAAAAGGGGTATACAGTAACAGAACCAATTCATGAGCCGCTAAGGGACTAGCTACATCTCCCGTGACATGGTCACCGTGAGCTGGTCAGAGAGAAACGGAAGTTTGTTCACCAAATTGTTGTGACTGCGGAATGCCCACACATGGCTGACATGGTGGATGGTGGCCATGAGCTTTGGTTGGGTAAACCTGTTGTGCGGCAAATCCTGCATTCCTCTGTGTCGCGAGTTTCATGAGTTTTCCGCGTAATGCTCGTGTCTTTGATGGAAGCCACACAAAACTAAAACATCTTCAATTCCCTTCAATGGAAGCAGCTACGCTATGCATTTCACAATGAGACACAATGAGACACATATCACCTTGTTGTGTTGTTCTGCCCCACTGAGTCGTCGACCCATATGCCAGGACGCTCGCCACTTGGTGGAAGTTGGGAGTTTCGGGAGGAGGACACTCTGGCAGCTGGCTCCACAACACCTTCAGGGTGGGCCGAGCAAAGCTAGGGCCTTTCAAACCATCGAGCGTTCTTGCCAAGGGGAAGTTGAGTTCGACCCCTTCGGAATATGTTCAAGCAATTCGTGCAACATCTTGCGACAAGAGCATTCGACGAACGCAGCTTGCTCATGTTGTATGGGGTGGCCAGATCCAAGATCTGCCCTTGTTAAGCAGACTTGTCAAAGCGTTCTTGTAGAGAACTTGTCTTTCTCCTTTCCGTTCGGTAGTTGTTGTTGTTGAGGTGGCTGGCAGGACTCTGGCTGCATACTGCAATGCAGGGCTACATCTTGAAGCAAAATGCAACAACGTTGCTAGCCGGACATAGATGAAAAATGATGAACATGCTTCTCATTGCACTTCTCGCTGTGGATGCCCGAGCACAAATTATAACCAAACACAAAAAAGGTAACTTATCTACTTAGCTTAGAATCCGCATTTCACTGGTCTGATCTTGATTGAAGGTCGTAACCTAGCAAGGGGTAGAGGTAACGGGTAAGGATGGGTAGTGAGGCGAGTCCAAAGACCTTTCCACATATCAAAGGTTGGGTTCCATTGCCACTTGTCTTCGATTTTCCGGAGGTCACAAACTACAAACGCCGAAGACATACCAGCATCCGGACCTCCAGCTGAGCCTCACTGATATCGGGGTTCTCTGTGCGCTTGAAGGAAAAGAAACCATTCTTGGTGAATTCACATTTGCAATGATCGTCCTGGTGCCACTTCCAAGTCACTGCCTGGTTTGTTGCCCTTTCGTCGTAGTCGGTCTCGAACCGCCCAAGGACATACCTGGAATGTAGGAGAGACACGGATACTAGCTCACATTCCGACGGGTTTACAGTGCATCACTGACATTTCAGTTGTGCTCAACTCAGAATTCCGGTACATGTCTTATTCGGGCCAGCTTTCTGACCTCAAACAAGTTCAAGCAAACTGTCTGACAGTGCAAGAGTTATTTGGTTTTAGCATGCCCAGGTGCGTCAAAGAGACTCCAAGCTTGAGTGATTCAGTCTTGACCTGCTCCTTGCGTGCTGCTAGCTCTCGCTGCACCTTCCCTTTACAAAAGCCATAGGCACAATGGGTCTGCAGGGAATGCAAGTCCTGTGCGGGCTGCAGTGAACATCTTCGGTGAAATCCCTAGCACAACATAGTCCAAGTACGGCAGCGTCCACAACACCGCAAATTTCAGAGCACCTGAGAAGCTGCAAAACGAAAGCCAGCGCTTTTGTGGGGCTGATTCGCAGTGCAAAGCCGGGAAGAAGCTATTTCCACTGTCTGTGAAGCCTGATGCACGCCATACCTGGGAACAGAATTGTAGCTACAAGACCTTTATTTTCAAGGTGGCCTGAACAGAGTGTTTTAGGGCAGCAAACCGTGGTCTCAGGCCACCTTGAATGTAGCTTGAAAACCACAGCTACATAGCTACCCTGGGTGTCTATACCTGGCAAGGTGCCAACTACACCTTTATTTTCAAGGTGGCCTGAACAGAGTGTTTTAGGGCAGCAAACCCTGGTCTCAGGCCACCTTGACTTAGCTTGAAAACCACAGCTTTGAAGCCTCATGCGCGCCATACCAGAACTGTAGCTACTTGTAGCTACCCTGGGTCCGTATAAATAGTATGTTGCTATACCTCTTACACACCTATACAAGTTCAAAGCACGAATGAGACTTCAAGGCTGTGGATTGCTGTGCGTGTGTAGAGGTTCTCAAGCGGTTGACGGAAAGGGAACTTGAAGCACTATACCTGGTAGCTGCACTATAGCTACCCTAGGTCTCTCTACCTTGCAAGGTGCCAACTACACCTTTCCATTCAGATGATGCAAATGATGCATTTGGCATTTCTTGCATCACCACCCCTCAAAAATCACCTCCAACACAACCTCAAAAAACCTTCCCTCGGAGCACCCTCCTCCCCCAGCATGTGCTGAGTTGACGTATACCTTTCTCGGGCCACCCCCCCAGACCCCCTAACTACTCACTTCGTTCGCCAGACACAACTCCGCTAGCGCCTTCTACGAAGGCTGGCTTTCGTAAAAAACCCGGTCAATTCGGGGAAGGACGATATCACAGCTTTGTTCTTCCAGTGAGCAGGATAGACACTAAAGACATGGCGTGTCTCAATGTACAACTGATGTGTGATGAACATCAACCCTCGCTGTAAACTCATCTGGCTGCACCACACCTTCCAGTTTTGTGCTTGCACCAGCCGATCCAAACGGCGTCGGAAAGACCAGAAGCGCGCACAACTGCACATTAAGATGACAAACATCATCAAGAGCAGGAAAACCAGCAGAAACACAATGCTGTAGACTGGAGAGCACAAGTTTGAATCCACGACGCCCATCACAAGCAATGGAAAGAAACAGGTCCTTGGCTGTGGGGCAAGAATAATCCTTTATATACATATGAAGTGTTTGTGCTGAAGGTACGTATACAAAAGGCTGCAACTTTGGTTTGGTTCTTGTTGGTTCCTTGTTTTGTTATTTTCTTGGAATTTGCTCGGTTGCTCCCTAGCTGGGATTCTAGGAAGGTTCCCAGCAGTGTAGTCCCCTGGTGCCTCTGAGGAGGGTGCAGTTTTTCTGTGGTGGCGAGTCGCGAGTTTGGTTTTATTTCAAGATGTTATCAAAGCCCTGCCATCAATACCCAACAAAGTCTTAAAGTCCACAAGAACCAAAAGCAAGCCATCAAACACCAACCCACAACCAAATCAGCCCAAAGCCCCAAACAAACCACCAAATCAATCACCAAAGTTCAATTCACCAAGAAGCGATCAAAAGCCAACAGAAGAAGCTATCAAAACCTACTGTAGCCATAAACATCAACAAACAAAAACAAACAATCAGAATCCAAACCAACACAAAACCACAGAACCCACCCCAAAAGCCAAAAGCCACAGAAGCAATAGGTGGAGCAAAATAAGAAGGAAAAACACATGAAGAAACGAACAACAAAATTTGCCCTCCTAGACAAATATTGCTAGCTAGAGGCCCACAAAGTGAAATTCTGACACCAAACATCAAAGTATATACAATAGGGAGCAAAATGGGAGCAATATCACCGGCCCTACAAGAACGTCCGCAAAATTTGAACCACTATCTGATCCAATCTAGGTCTCTGGCACCTGTCATCTCCCTCAAATGCAAAGCTTTGATCGCTGCACATCCCGCAACCGCTTTTGAACTCATTGGGAATAAAGCCTTCAGGACAATAACTGCACTCTGGCGAGCGCTCCAGGGCAAAACGGCCAGATGAGCAAGTGGCACACCGAGCCTTCCAAAGCTGCAAGGTGATTTCGCGCCGATCCGCATTTGTTGGAACAATATTATCACAATATATATCTGAATCTAGCCTACCATCAAATTTAATCGGACGTATAATGATTGTAATGTACGATAATGTATCTATACAATACACGGAAACGATAAGCATCTCTTCCGTTTCTTTCTCTCTGGGCCCAACGTGGACCCACTAAACCCAAGCCTTGTCCGCATCCGGCGCAGTGCCAGCCCGACAGGGCGTGCAGCTGCCGTCGCCCGGCTCCGCCACGTAGCCGGCATCGCAGCGGCGGCAGCTTTGTCGGTCGGACGTCGGGAAGAAGCCGGGCGGGCAAGGCTCACAGCTGGTGGCACCGGAAGAGGAGGAGATGAGGCCAACAGGACAAATGTAGCACTCCTATATGGATCTCAACAAGAAAGGATCGCAACGAATTGGGATATTCCCCCAGCATGAAAAGATTGGGAGGCCTATTCTTGAGGAAAACCCACAAGGGGAGGGAAGGACAGTCTGCGCGTCCTCATTCCCCGTGCGGTTTTTGTAGCGCCCTGGCTCGCAAGGCACACAGGCTTCCCAACCTCGGGGTGGGCTGGGACAAAAACTCTGCTCAAAACCTAACCTTAGTAGCCTTGGTAGTACTTACAGAAATATCTGGCTGGCTGGGTTGTTGTCTTACGACTGGGCCTGTCAGGCTAAAGTGGGCAAAAGAACTCAAGACTAGATGGGCCACTACGTATCGCGTGGAACTCCTACTTGCTCTCAGCAGAACAAACTCCTGCTAATATGTCAAGTTGACACTGATGCTAGGCACGCCTGTAGAAGTTCTTACAGTAGTCAGTAGTTGCTATGGTTGGGTTTGATTGAGATGCTCACAGGCGTGGGCCTGCAAATTTGACGACCCTCAAAGCGCATTCATGACCCGTTGCACTTCTTTTCCAGTGCCAGTGTGGTCACACCAGTCTTGCTTCGTCTTGAAGACATTCACGACTAAAGGCCAAGTTCGAAGAAAGAGGC